GTCAGAGACGGAAACTGAGTCAAGGTCTTGCCATCTCCAAGGCTGGCCCTCTAGCCAATATTTTGAGCTGCCTCTAATAGATTGTTATGAATACATAACTTTGGATCTGATGTAAAAAATTCATAGCACTGACCACATTCCTCCCTGGGATAAGGATTCATGGACGTACAAATGACTTTGGCCTTCTTCTAAAATAAGATCCCTTTTCCTCTTCACTACTTCAACCCCAGAGACCCCCGTTTCATAGGACCATAGGATAAAAGATTTGGAGATGGAAAATACTTAGAGGAAAGAACTTAGCCCAACTCCCTCATTCCTAGGGGAATTCTAGGGCAAAGAGAAGTTAAATGACATGTGAAATATTAAAAAAAAAAAGTTAACAAGTAGAGAGGTGAGATTTGAACTTAGGTCTCTTGACTCTCAATCCTGCTCTTTGCACCATGTTCTTACCATACCACTTTTCCCTCCCAGAAATACTTAGAAGAACTCTAAGCCAGGATCACTCTCTCATGTAGGATTCCTCTCCTTTCTTCTCTAACATTTTGACATTGCTTCTTTTTTTTTTAAATTTTTAAATTTTTAACATTCATTCAAAAAAATTTGAGTTCCAAATTCTCTCCCTCCCCCTCCCCCTTCCCCACCCATTGAGAAGGCAAGCAATATGATATCAATTATACATATGAAATCATGTAAAATGTATTTCCATATTAGTAATGTTGCAAGAAAAGCAAGAAATATTAAGTGAAAAAAATCTGCTTTGATCTTCACCCAGAATTAATCAGTTCTTTCTCTGGAGATGGCTAGGCTTTTTCATCATGGGTCCTTGGGAATTGTCTTAGCTCATTGTATGACACTGCTTTTGTGGTATTTGCCCCCATTGGGATGGGAGCTCCTTAGAAATTATTTTTACCTTTCCTTGTATCACCAGCTCAGATTCTCACACACAGTACTTAATTGATTGGCTAGATGAGGCCTTAGTTTAGAGAAACAGGGGAAAGCAGAAAACAAACCCACAAAATGGAGACCAGCAGATGAAGGATTTCTGGTAGCAAGGAGGCTGCCATCCAAGTAGACACTGCTTTCTCTAAACTCTCCCAGCTCGAAGTCGGCTTCTCCTTGGGCAGCCTCCAATTGGGTGGAAAACAAAAGACCCTTTGGCCCAGTTTCCCTGGGACAACCCAACAAGGCTTCTTTAGCATTTAGGAGACACAAGGATCAAAATTATCTTTCTATACCTTTAAAACTAGTCCTAAGATAGTCATTATCTTCTCTGTCTTTGAAGGAGCTTTGGGGGACTTGAAGGTCCTCACTTTGCCCTAGGGTGAGGTGGTCAGGACGTGGCTAGTTTGGCCTTGTGCGGCTTTTGCACAAACTCACCTGCTCACAAATGGCGCCTGTCATAGTGACAGGAAACGGCCTGACGTTTCCTCGGCCCAGATTCTCCCGTTTCCTTTGGTTGCTGAAGAGCTTAAGCTCCCGTTTCTCCTCCTCATCCAGGGAATTACAATATCGAACCTGGAGACACGGAGAGAGCACAGAGAGACGGCTCTCATCAAGACTCCCAGACTGGGACTCCAAGCCACCCGGATGGACTTTTCAATATTAGACAAGAAGGAACACAGTTGGATCAAGCAATGCTGCCCACATTTTAATGACCCCTTGACATGCAGCCATTTAAAGAAAACTAGGAAACTCAGAAAAACTGGGAAACTCTGGAGCTGCCCCAAACTCCTCTTCTGATGCATGCGTGAAAAGCCCCCCAAGTCTTCTCTTGGAAAGCCTCATCTTCTAAGGAAGCAACACCATTCAACTTGAGTCGTTAAAATCACTTTGTGTATGTCATACGTGTAATACTTTACAATGACTGAAGCTGCCCTCCTCAGCCCCCTCTCCCCTCTGGTTGAAGGACCACGTGGTGGAGCACTAGACTCCTCCCAACACCTTCCTTTATAGAGGGCAGAAACTGGACTCGGTGCACTCCTCTCTGCATCTGCTGCTCTGCCCAGGTTTAGCTCGACTGAACAAGATATTCTCAAGGCTGATCTCCCCCACTTCAATGTCCTGACTCCTTTTGTGTGTTGTTTCCCCCATTAGACTGTGAGCTCCCTGAGGACAGGGCTATCTTTCTTTTCATTAATTAATTAATTAATTTTTATTAATTGTATTAATTTTATTAATTGTGTAAAACATTCATTGGATTGAATCTTGAGTCTTCACAATTAAACTGAAATCCAAACTGTATTTTTTTTTGAAAGGGAAGTGGAGCTGAATAGAGGCTCAATGAAAGGGTTTCTAGATTTTCCATGAACCTCACATGCCTCCCTATTGCAACACTATTGCTTATGCCAACTCAGCTAGCCTGAGGAGTTGCTGATTGACCCTCTTACGCCTGACAGTTCTCATATCTGACACTCTCCTGTCTTGTTCAGGGATGATTTCAGTGAAATGAAGCCAAGGGAGTGGTGGGGAGGGAGAAGTGGGGTCTCAGAAATTCCTTCCAAGGCATTTGGTGACGTGTACATGCACGTCTATTTACTTAGGGGCGTGTGTTCAGAAGAGGAAATAGATGAGGCTTGGTTTTTTGTTTGGCTTTATCTTTGGTGAGGCAGCTAAGCAGACAGTTTCACCCCCTCCCCCTTCCCCAAATATAGTAAGCCAAGATTAAGGAACACTCAACCGTGTCCTCTACATTCAGTCTATGGAAGCCCAACCTAGGAGTCAATGTCAGACGGATGGCATCCACTGCTAAGGAAAACTTGGGAGTCAGAACACTTGAGTCTGAATCCTGCCTCAGACACTTTATAGCTGTATAAGGCATAGGTTCACTTTCCTCATCTGTAAAATGGGGATAATAATAGCACCTACTTCACAGGGTTGCTGTGAAGATGAAATGGGATAACGTAGGTGAAACTCTGCAAATGTTGTAGTACTCTGTGTTAGCTATTACTACTATTAAATGATTTGAATTGCATTCTTTCTTTGACAAATACAGAATTTAATGGAATGTTAACGCTGAAAAGGTCCATAGATTCATTTAGTCCAACCCTCTTTAGAGATCAAATGACTTTTCCAAGGCCACTTTGCTGGTGGGTGCCAGGACCAAAGTCAGACCCCAGTCCTGCTGGGTCTACCTAGGTCCAGGGTTGTTTCTGTCAAGCCACAGTACGTGGCTTCTGTCTACAATCAGGTTTTCTGATCTGAGGGAAGAAGCGGATGGTTGGCGTACTTACCTTACCAATTATCTGTTGTTCTAAAATGAGCATGCTGAATGGGCTTCATTTGCCCACTGATTTGCACGTATTAAATTGTCACTAACATGAAAAGGCAATTTGACAGTATCACTTTTCATTTAAAAAAAGCCCACAAACCATAGTTCCCCATACAGAAGCAGAAAAGACAGACCCTCTGATGAATAAAGAGAGGAAGTACCTGTGTACTGTGCTCAAAGGAGACTGTGAGTAGCCCCACAACAGGCATTTAGGGTTCATGGAAAAACTTTTAAAAGAAGGTATACTCTCTGAACTTGCAAAATCCTGCATATTCATTCCTGAATTGGCCCACTAGGCTTTATGTTACAAGTTTGTTTCTCAATTTTAAAGGGGAAAAGGAAAGCTTATTTGGATGAAAACAGGTCTGGATTAAATGACAACAGAGACCACTGAGGGGTAGTGTCAGGAGAAGGCCCAAATGTCCAGGTCCAGGACAGCTCCCATCTCAGGATCTTACTTAGGGTCTGAAAATCACCCCTCTCTCCTTTTTTTTTTTTCAAATACGGCAAGCCAAGATTTAGAAATGTTCAAGGATTTGGCCTTTGGGGGCCCAACCTGGGCATAAGTGTCAGATTGATGGCACTTATCTCATAAAGAGACTTCTTTCTTTCATTAGATCTTAAGCTAGGCCTTTTATATGAGCCCTGTTAATGTCAGGGTGTAGAAAATAGCTTCTTTTTATGGGATTATCTCCCTTTCCCTCCCCCAGCATTAAAAAAAAAATTCATTTCCAGTTTGTAAATCCAGTTGCCTGGGGCATGAGGTGTCTTTAAAAGGACATTTCAAAATTCACACTGGCAGATGATTTCAAGCATCAGGAATGTCCCTGACCCTGACTTTTGCGTGTTAATAAGAAGCAACCTCTTTTCCAAATTTTCACCAAACTAAAAGATATGGATTCCATAGTGACAAAAACCCCCAGATACGCTAGTCGTGGGACAGTAGGCAAGTCACATACCCTGTCTCACTTCAGTTTTCTCATTCATAAAATGGGGAAAATAACAGCACCCTTCCTCCTTATGTCCAATGAGACAACAGGTAGAAAGCACTTTATAATAAGCCTTGAAGCGTTAGATAAATGCTAACTACGATAGGCTATTACTATAGTGTCGAGCATTACAAATCATCCCAGGAAAGAGCTACACACCCAATGCACAGGTAATGGTGTTGAAAATTACTAGGAGCCCCAGTGCATTTGCTAGGCCAGAACCAGCAGGAAGGATTCTAACCAGCTCCAACATCTGCAGTCACCAAATGGACAGATTTTTCTTCTTAGATTGAGCAAGTACAGACACGAGCCATTGACTTCATTCCACGCATGCTCTGGGTCATTAGTCAATCTGCTGCGAGAGGCCACATGGGACAATACCCTCCAATCTGAACCCCTGGCTTAGATACCTCCCTCACAGCCCCCCAGGAATCTAAGCGAGTGGACTTTGGCGCATATGGACAAAACAGAAATAAGAGTCCCAGTTTTCTCTTTGAAGCAGCCTCAAGTGGTAGCACAGGGATTACCCCCTCAATGTAATTACACTTCCAAAGATAGGAAAGAGCAGCTTTCTGGAACGGCCTGTGACTCCTCACCTCATTGTCGTGTGGAGGCAGCTGATGCAAAAGCTGCTTGATTCTCAGCTTTTCTCCCGGACTATTGACGTAGGGCACCTTCTCTTCTGGTAGACAGCTGTAATACTGGTGAACCTGGGGGTCAGAAAACAGACAGCCACAGTGGTCACTTTCCTGACTACTCCACAAGACTGGGATGTGGGGACTGACCATGCCAGCCAGAAAGTCCCTGGAACAAATCAGCACCTGACCAGGTATGAACTGAGCCCTGGGGAACGTATCTGTCACTCAGCAAAAAGCAAAGACGCTTCCTCCTTGCCCAGGGGGGAGGTAAATCTAATGCCCCTTCCTGGCAAAAGGGAGCTGGGTATCCATGCTGGGGAAGGCAGGCACATGGGAGGGCTTTCTCAGCAGAATTCCCGAAGGTTGGACTTTTACCATTTTCTCAGGTAGACTCCAGCATGCTAGCATGTGGCCCTGGCCAAGGGGATATGTCAGCACCTGTTTCTGCACTGGAGATTCAAGCTGCTCCTTGGCATTCAAACACTCCTCGGGTATCTCAGCCTCCACCTACACCCAAAGCCCTCCAGGCCTTCCCCGCTGTTGCAAGGAAGCACCCCAAGAGGCTGAGGGCTGCTAGAGAATCTTGCTCTGGCTCGGGCTCCCAAGCGTGCAATTAGAAATAATTATTAAGGTATTAAGTAGAATGAACTTCTGGGAATGCTCGTGTTTGTGATTTTTACAGATATTCTCGGGCTCTCAACATTTGTCTGACACCCATCTGGAAAGGCACCAACAACCTAAGGTTGTCAGATGAAAGAATATAAGTTCTTAGAAACTTCACAAAAACTGTGGCGGTGGGCATGCTCCTTTATGCCAGAGCATGGAAAACAGCAGGATAAAAAGAAAGGGATCACAACCGAATGTATGCGGGATCTATAGGAGGCTGGGAAAGATCCTGTCCTGATGACATCATGGAAAATTCACTTTTCAAGACACCTTTGCCATCACCCAGGACTCCAGGAAAACAAGGTATCTGGTAGGAGCTGAGAAGGGGAAAGTCAGGGAGATCAAAGCAATTGAATTGGCTGGATCCTAACAAAGCTCTGAGCTTCTTTTGTATGTGGTCAATTATTTTGAATGTTAGGTGAAAAGCCAGGAAAAAAACCTTTATGCACTCAAGAAGCAACATTGTGAGTGGCAAGTGACCTCTTAGCTTTGAAATAACCAGCTAAAAAAATAAAAGAAAGTTATCTTGATTTTTTCACATATATTTTTATATATATAAATGAATGTGTGTGTGCATTGTCTTAATAGAGAAACATGGTAGTACATAAACAAACTTCTTATTCCAGAATTGCTGAGTTTGGAGAAGTGGCTTCTCCTGATATATCCCCAGGGGCATTTGCCAAGGAGTTCTTCTAACTCATTAATACAGTACAGGGATTAACAACACTTGAGTTAACACACTCACACACACACAAACTCACACACACACAGAGCCCCCAAGTCATAAATTAATTTCGGAATAGAAGCTGACCACCGGCCAATCATCTGCTTCTATGTGGTGTGGCAGGCAGGAAACTGGATTTGGAATGAGGAAGGCTGGGGATGTAGGACAATGACAGAGGAGAAAAACTCCCTCTTTTCTTCCAATAGGTTCCCACCTTCTCTGCAACTTAAAATCTCACAGGGTTGCCTGTGCCACTAGGAAGGGCAGTGACATATGTGTTCAGGGTCACATAGCCACAAGCGCCTTTACCTCAGGGCTTGCTGGCTCTAGGGACAAGTCTCCATATACTACAGCACGTAGTCAGGAAAACCCGGTTTCAAATCTGGCTCAGACACCTCCTTGCTGTCACTGGCACATTGCTTCACGTCTCTCTGAGCCTCAGTTTCCTCGGCTTTAAATGCAGAGGTCGACCTTGATGTCCTCTAAGGTCCCTTCCAATTCTAAGTCTAGGATGCTATGATTTAAGACCATACATCAAACCCTTTTTCCCTCCCTTTGGAAGGGAGGGCTCCTATTCTGTTCCTCTTGGGTAGTACAACAAGTGAATGAATCCTGTCCCCTCTGGACCCTGGGGGTGTGGGGGTGGTGAATGCCCTGTGCCTCTCAGGCCAGTTACCTGCCAAAGGGCCTTTGGTTCCACATCAGTTCATCAACTTCACAATTCCTGTTATGTTTATATCACATTAGGAACAATCATTCATATTGAGTGATTCATTATTCATGCTGGAATAATAAGGACGGTACAATTACAGCTTGATTTTGTGTGTCTGTGAGTGTGAGTGTCTATGTGTGTGCGCTCAGCTCAGTAATCCAAAGTCCTCCCTAGGGGCTCTTGGGGGCTTAGGAAGCTCAGCCAAATCCTTGTGCCCAGGGCCAAGGCCTATGTATGGCTGGATGGGCTGTGCTTTTGCAAACTCTCCCCCAGGCCTGATATGCCCCAAATCAAACGGTCTGGACTTTGCAATAGCTTTTTTTTTTTCATTTTAAAATGCAGGCGAGTGTGCAGGAGAATGAGATCATGACTATAAAGTACTTTGAACACCTCAACATGCTTTATAATGGTTTTATTATTATTATCATCATCATTATTATTATTACTGTATAGTGTGGTATACAGATCATTAGCTATGGAATTAGGAATCTCTATGATCAAATTATGCTTCTGACACAATCCCTCCCTGCCATGTATTTATTTTGTTTTTAATCTTTATTTACTTATCTTATTTATTTTTATTTATTTATTTGTTTGTTTGTTTGTTTTAGGCAATTGGGGTTAAGTGACTTGCCCAGGGTCACACAGCTGGTAAGTGTCAAGTGTTTGGTCTGAGGCTGGATTTGAGCTCAGGTCCTCCTGACTTCAGGGCTGGTGCTCTATCTACTGCACCACCTAGCTGCCCCTCTATTTACTTTTCTTAACAAATATGACAATATTTTTAAAGTGCTTAGGACAGTATGTAGCACAATCCATCTTTCCTCCTACTCTCACTCCTTCCTTCTTTCCTGTCTTCCTTCCCTCCCTCTCTCCCTCCCTTCCTTACTTCCTTCCTTGCTCTATAAGCCCCTTGTAAGCAAGGACTGTTTCCTCTTTTGTCCTGTATCTTCAGTGCTTAGCACGATACCCAACACATAGTGAGTATTTAATAAATGAATCAGCAATCATCGTTGACTAACTGACTGATTAACAACCTTTTAGGACCACAAGCAATTTTCTAAGAGTTGGGTGAGGAGCCCATCTGCATCAATGGAGATGAGTTCCTTATATCGGGAAAATCAGAGGTCCAGACAAAAAAAAATTACTAATCATTATTATTAAGCTCATGAAAATCGAACCACAATCCAGGCCTAAATTATGAGATTTTGTGAGTCAGTATTGGCCTGGCCATCAAATAGAAATCAATGTCTATGGGCCAATTTCAAAACTGTTTAGAGGATTCATTGTTCAGATCGACTTTCATCCCAAGGCCATCTAATGATCATTGGATCACTGCCATTCTAGACTACAGAGAGAATCACAGAATGATAGATGGAAAAAAAGCTTTGGAGATCAGTTAGTTCAAACCTCTCATTTCACAGATGAAGAAAATGAGAAACCTAGACAAGCGATGATACATCAAAAGTAATCCATCCAGCCAGATAGTGAACGAGAACAGAATTCGAATCCATGACTCCTGATTCTCAATCAAGGGCATTTTCCATTTCACCATGACCTCTAGCCATGTCACAAGCCAGTCTGATTACTCCCTCATTTATTTACATGTTCATTTTACTAGCCTGAAGCAACTGGAAAGTGGCATGGACTGCTTCAGGGAAGAGTGGGGGGCTCCCCATTAAGTTAGGTCTTCACAAAAAGACTGGATTACCATTTTGTCAGGGGTGTTAGAGTTGAGATTCATTTTCAGTTATGAGTTTGATTGGATGCCCAATGAGATTCCTTCTTACCATAACATTCTTTTATCTTTATCCTCTATTTGACACTAAATCAGTCAGCCAACAAACATTTATTAAGTGCTTACTACGCACTCAGTGCTGGGGATGTGAAATTTTCTCCCTCTCAATCCAAGTGAAAATCTACTGAGTACTTCCTCTTAATGTGAGGCTAGAAGAAAAACTGATGATAATCAATGTTTGTTGATGAATCCGTTCTCTAGAACGGCTTGATAATCCAGGAAGAAAAATACATTCCTCTAGCACTGTCCAAGAATGGTCCCCTTTCCCCCTTGGCAATCTTAACCAGAGTACAGAAGGAAGCAGACGGATTGGAGAGAGAAGGCAAAAAATAGCTCTCCTGAATTCCCGATCTGTTTCTGGCTGAATTCGGAAATGGTGAATATGTTTTCCCTCCATCCTTCTCCATAATAAAACTACTGTATGGCCCAAAATAAATAGAAAAGAAAGAAACCAGTGAGGGGAAATATTCAGTGTACTTCCTGGCACTACAAAAATCCATTTGGCTCCAGCCGTGAAAAGTCCTGTGTATGATTTCTTTTTGCCCAAACATATTTTGCTCTCTAATGTCTATGAGGAAATAAACAAGTCTGTGGACAACTGCTGATAAGCTATCCTTGCCCACTTGAATCCTTCTTTTTGACCTTCAGTTTTTTTGGTGTTTTTTTTTTTTTTGCTGATCCTGTACTCACCTCCAAAAGTCAGAGTGAAAAGTGGGCACTAAGCACTGAGTTCACAGTCAAACTTGGACTTTGTTTAGGTGAAGTCATCCTACACCAGGGTTTCTTAACCTGGGATCCATGAACTTTTTGGAAAATATTTTGGTATTCCTATGTCTTTTAGGCATTATTCTGAGGAGTCCATAGTTTTCACCAGATAGCCAAAGGAGTCCATGACAGAAAATGTTAAGGATGTCTCTCCTAGGGCGACTTTTCCTTCACCAAGGGCACTTCAGACATCATGAGTTGGCCATCATGAGTACAGAACATGGTCACTGAGAGCCTTTGGTTAAGATCTTGGTTAATCCCTTGCAAATGGAAGGGCTGGCTGGAAGTTCATTTCCTCTCAGAGCTGGGAAGAAATTTAGAGAGAAGAGAGTAAGGCTCTGGGGCCTCACCCAGTTTGCAAGGAATTTGTGCTCCTTAAGAAGGAGCTGCTGATTTGACAGCATTTCTCCCCGGGCACAGAGAGAGTCATATGCTGGTGGGGGAAGTGTGGAGAAAGGGGAGGGGGATGGGAATTTTGATTTGGAAAAGCACAGTAATAAATAATGACATCTGGCATCAGATAGCCTAGCAGTTTCCAAAGGACTGTTTGTATACCCAGTCCTCACAAAAATCTAGCAAGGTAGGTAGGGCAGGTATCGTGCAGGAAGATCCGGGTTCAAATCTCACTCTAATTCTTATTACCTGGATAACTGTGGGTTAGTCATTTAAGCCTCCCAGAATCTTAGCCTCATCATGTGTAAAATGGGGATAATCACACCTGTATCAGTGCCACCATAGGGCTGTTTGTGAGGCTCAAGTGAGACACTGGGGGGAAAGAGTTATGTATACCTTGAAGAGCTATTATTAGGTCAGCTATTACTATTGGGGAAACAACATATATACCTATGGAGGTAGAAATATAAGATCTAGACAGAGAAAGGAGCTAGGTTTAAATTCTGCCTCTATCATATTAGTTGTGTGACAGTGGGTAAGTCATTTAACCATCTGCCTCAGTTTCCTCATTGGTAAAATGGGACTTATAATAACACCTACTTCCTAGGGTTGTCATAAGGATGAAATAAGAATATATGTATAGCACTTGATGATGGGGTGATGGGACCTGGACCCCTAAAAGGAAAAGACCATGTCTTTGAAAGCAACCCAGTCCCTGAATTTTCCCATACATTTCAGTAGCCCAGATCACTGGCATCTCAGCCTAAGGCATCGGGCCCACCCCAGCACACCTAGATCACTTAATTATCTTACTTGAAAGTTCTTCACTGTTGCTTTTGGCCCAGCCCGGACTATTTAATATTCATTTCACTGTTACACTATTGCAATTTCTTTTCTCTAAATCTCTTCCCAGCCCCGAAAGTAAATGAACTTCCAGCCAGCCCTCCCATTTGCAAGGGCTTAACCAAGAGCTGAGGTCCACCTCAGATTACTTACCACTACCTCAATCCCACCCAGAGCCTTCGGTTGTCCTTTTTGTATATAAGGATCAGTCTCACCCCCACTAAGTTGCAGATTCCCTAAGAGTCTTGCCCACTCCTATTGGCATTGGAATTAACCTCGCCACTTTGATTGGAAGAAGGTTTGAGTGTGTCAGTTCTTTCCAGGTGGATGCCACTCTGTACCTTGACATTCCAGAGTTCCCAGCAACACCAAATCACATCACTTGACACACCTTAAAGTACTATATGCAGCTCAATTGTTGTTACTGTAATTATAATTATTATTACCTCCATTTTCTAGACGAGGAAATTGAGGTAAAAATATGTGAGGTGACTTGGCCAAAGTCACCATGTTAATGAGAGGTCTCCTAACTTTTGAGGCTAGAGCTGTTCCCCTCTCCCCGATCCCTGCAACCACACACAGTATTCTACCTCTCATCTCTGTGTCTTTGCACAGGCTATACCTCATGCCTGCAATGCAGTCCTTCATCACTTATCCCCCTTAGCATCCTTCAAGGCTCAGCCTAAGCACCATATCCCACACGAAGCTTTAAAATTTTATTTTAAAAATGTTTTGTTGCTGTGTTTCGTTTTTACATCACAAACATTTACAGATTGCTCCCACTTGGTAAGAAGTCTCTTCTAACAAAGGGAAACAGTGAAGTAAAACTAACAATATGACAATGTCATTTGAAAGTGCATGAAACAATTCACAGCTGTAGCAACCCTACTCTATTAAAATAATGAACAGAAATGTATTTTCTCTCCCTCCCAACCCCCATCCCATTGGGAAAAGGGAAAGAAAAGAAACAATTTTCAGTAAAAAGTCTATGCAATCAAGCAAAACAAATTCCCTCAATGTTTGTATACAAACATACACACATATATATGTATGTATGCATATGTATATGTTGCATTCCATAGCCTAAGTCCATCACCTTTCTGTAACTGACAGTATGGTTCACCACCAGTCCTCTGGCATCATGAATGGTTACTGTATTAATGACAGCTCTTACAGATTCCAAAGTTGAAGGCTTTTCCTGATTCCTAGCCAGTACCCAGCCATAAGTGCCTCCCACCCCTGAAATTACCTTATAATTTAAAAAAATGGTATCCGAGATCTAGATCTGAAAGGGGCCTCAAAAGCCAGCTCGTCCAGCCCCCTTATTTAACAGATGAATAAAATAAGACACCAGGAGACTGAGTGATTTGCTCAAGGTGATACAGGCAGCAAGAGGCAAAGACAGCATTTAAACCCAGCTCCTTCCTTTTGCATAACTTGTTTTTATCCATATGAGCATATATGTTTCTCCTGATTGACTGTAAGCTTTTTGAGGGTAAGGGCGGAGCTCCTTAACACAGTGCCTGGCACACAGCTCCTCAGTAAGCTGAAAGAACATTGATGCTGGGTCCAAATGCCACCTTTGACTCATACATCTGTGAAATAGAGGGATGAAACAAACCATGTTCCAACCCTAAATCTCCAATATCCAGGCTTTCTTTCAGCCACACTAGGGTGCCTCCTTACAAAAGAGTCAATGTCTTTGAGGCCCAATGAGGACGCCTATGGGAGGCACAGGAAGACAATCCAGGCTGTTTCAGAAGGAAGCCAAGCCGAGGGAAGGGTCAGACCTTGGTCCCTCCCACATCCCAAGGCCCTCGCTCTGCTGGTTTGACTTCTAATGGGAGTCGAAGCTGAAAGGTAGAAGGAGAAGAGGAGGAGGATTCAAAATGCTCAGACATGGAAGGCCCCAAACTCTCATCTCTGGCATGCCATGCCATGCACTGAAACGTGGGGAAGATTTTATAGAAGCCTATATTAACTGAGGGACAAATAGCAACATTGGGTCTTTATTTCCTGGTTTCCCTAGCCTGTATTTTAAGAGACTTGGAACCTCCTTGCCTCTCAGTTAATCTACCTGCCACAAGGAAAGGCAATCAATGGCGACCCCAGAGGAGGGATGACAAGCAGAAATGGGCCACCTTGGAGAGCTGTGTCATGGAGAAGCCAAGCTATACAACACCACACAGATCTCCAGTACCAAGCTGGTTTTTGTTGTTTTGTTTTATTAAAAGTGCACACTGGTTCCCTAGGTGGATATTTCAATAATATTCATTTAACAAAGCAATTCTGAGCAGAGAGAATGGATAATGGACTTCTGCCTGTGTTTCTGTCCCTCATCCCTTTGCAAAACCAAGAACTCTGCAAATGATCTTCATTAGTAGCTGAGAGGATAAATGTCACCCCATCTTGCAACACCAGCCCCTCGATCTCTTCTCTTAGATACCCAGATTCCAATTTAAGTTGGTTTACCTCTGAAACAATTGTTTTTGGGGGGTGGAGATCACAGCTAATACCTAAACAATGTTTCCGTCACACTTCAGATCAAAATTGGAAATAAAAAGCTCATCGAGGGGGTTGCAACAGAGCTGTTTCTGCAAGGAGAATGCAAGTGGCTAGGTCGGAACAAGTTTCCTCCAGGCCCTGGCTCCCCAAATGTGCTGCTGGATTCTCACACAAATGCTGGGAAAAGTGGGTCAGGGGTAAGAGAGAAGCCAAGGAAATCTGGCTGGCCCATTCCCTCCATGTGTGCCAGGGGTAAGCAGTTTAAGTAAATTCTGTGTTAAAAAAAAAGAAACAAAAAAGATGAAGGAAGAAAATAACTGACAATGTGATATTTCTTTAAAGAGAAGGGGAAGAATAACTCTTGTAGGAGAAGCTCGAAAGTTCTTTAAAGCCAAGCCAACTGAATTTGGATAAATTGAAGAAAATGATCCCATTACTTGCTAGGTTCACATACTGTAATTTCAAGTCACATTAGTGAATCTTTCTCTCCTTCCCATGACTCCTTACCCCACTTCCCTTTTAAGGTCTATTCTTCATTCAAAAGATTAAACTGTTCATTTCAGTTAGGATATACATTTCCTTTTGGTTAAGGGAATTATCTGTTAGTTAACAGCTTCAGCCTGTCTTTAAAAAAAAAGTCCCCAGGAATCTGAAGAGTGAGCTCAGAATTGCAAAAGAGAGAGGGAGGTGGAGTCAGAGGCTCTGGGTTAGAATTCTGGCTCTGTTTCATGCGTAAAAGCCCTGCAGGCACACAAGTCATCGAACATTTCTGGGTCTCAACTCCTTATCTGAAAAAGAAAATGAGGGTTTTAGACTAGATTCCCTCTGAGGTCCCTCCATCATGTGATTCCAAAATTACAGCCCCTAGGTTACATAGCGATTCCCCTACCTTGCCCTTCTCCATATCCCCTTAGAGTAGAGACTTAGAACTACAAGTGACCTTCTTTCAAGTCTATCCTTCTGATCTTTCAGTTAAGGAAACTGAAATCCAGGGTCCTGAAATGTCTTGGCCAAGGTCATACAGGTAGGCAGAAGCAGAAGCAAGTTTCAGACCCAGGTCCTAATTTCAAATCGAGTGCTCTTTCTATTGCACCCAAAGAATGTCATCTTAACCCTGTTTGCCTCAGTTTCCTTATCTGTAAAATGAGCCGGAGAAGGAAATGGCAAACCATTCCAGTATCTTTTGCCAAGAAAACCACAAATGGGGTCACAAAGAATTGGACATAACTAATACATAAAGGAACACTTCCACCAACAAACTTGCATTCTTTCTTTGCTGAAAACTTTGACTAACAGCTCTCTCCCAAACGGCCTCGTAATAAGGGGAGTTACATGGAACAGCAGATCTAGCACTGATATTTGGAGTTTGGAACTTCTGCCTCACACCAGCACTACCCATAGGACTCTGGACAACCATTTAACCTCTCACTCAGTTTTCTCATCTGTGAAATGGGGATAATATCATCTGTCTCACAGGTGCATTGTGAAGATTAAATGGGATAAAAACATAGAGTGCTTTGCAAACCTCAAATGTGATGTAAATGTTGGCCATTATTAACTACCTTGTATTTATTGTATTTGTGTATATACACATATACAGAACTCAGTTGTTGTTCAGGGTCACCCAGCTAGTAAGTGTCTGAGGCTAGATTTGAACTCATGAAGATGAGTCTTCCTGACTCTGCAGGCTCTGCACTCTATCCACTGCAGCGCCACCTAGCTTCCTGAAATAACAAGTGCAACCATTTTAAAAGCTCCTTGGAAGCTGGTCGATTAGCCTTTTTATCTCTGTATCACCACCTCCTAGCACCTTGCCCGGCACACAATAGATGCTTGTCAATTTGATGGATTAAGCAGGGCAGGTGGGTAGGCAGGTGTCTGAAAATCAAATAATTAAAGGCCCTTCCTATTTCTACAACTGAGAACTGATGATTTGTGGCCTGAATCTAGCCTCACTTGGTCCCAGAATGCTCTTGCCTAGGGTAGACCTCTAGAAAACAAAGACAGCATAATTCACACATTCTAGACAAATGGAGGGAGGCATACTATCTCTTCCTGGGGACAGGAATGCTCCTTGTTAACATAAGTATCAGCAAACATGACTCCAATGAATTCACATGCCCCACTTCCGTCCTCAGGTCTAGGATGTATGTATGCTTATGAATAAAGCAATATTTTAAAAAAATGCATCTGCACTAAGACACAAGGGTTTTCACTTTCTAGGGGCTTAAAAAAAACCAACTCTACAAATGTCACAAATTGGTATTTTCTCCACCACCTCGAGAGAGGTCCTTTATTGAGACCTTGTGAATAAAAGGCTCAACTCTGACCTCTTGTAAACATTCAGGTTATCATTTGGCTGGATGGGGTAAAATGCCTGTTATAAGAGCCACAGATGGCCAATTCCACCATACTCCAGGTATCTGAATTTCAAAGGGCATCTCAGACTGGTAGGAAGACTATTCATTTACTTCTTCCTGTTACCAGAACTGGTTACGATTCAAGATCCTCAGGCTATCACATACACACACCTAAACCTAGATTTAAATATCCAAAATATATATGCACCATGTGTACCTATGCATGCACATATACATATGCATATATATATATATACAATACACATATGCATACACTATTTGCCACCATACACACGTATGCACAGTCATATATGATGCATCTGTAGGTATATGCATGCACATACACACACACACACACACACACTTACATGTACACAAGTCAACATTCCAATATCATGCCATTGTGGAAACAACATTGAATCTGGGGTCAGCAGACATTGGTTTAAATTCTCTTTTTGCCACTTAGCAATAAGGTCTTGAGCAAATTACTTAATTTTACCAGGACTCAGTCTCCTTAACTACAAAGTGAGATTTCTGTAGTTTTAAATAATCAAAATAGTTAAATATATAAATAAAATTAAGTTAAAACATTTAAAACTAATTTAAAAGGTTGATGTGTAGATCCAATTAGATGATATATGTTAAACACTTAGCAACCCTCACAATGCTGCTATGTAAATGTCAGGCATTAATATTTGTTCTGTGAATTTTCTACAGAAAATCTATAATCCTTTCTCGGCTTGCCACAAACCCTTACAAAGCTACTGGTCTCCTGCACTGCCCTGCTGCCATATGCCCAAGCAATTCAAATCTCGATAAATCAAAGCTAATTTCAGGAGACCTCTGCTCTCCACATCATCATTCAGAATACCCCAATGACAAACAAAAACTTTTTAGATGATCTCATTCTGAATAATTCACATTATGGTTTTCCCCTATTAATATAGAACAGTGATGAGAAATCTTTGGAGACAGGGAAGGCTAAAGCCAGCTAACCTCCTTCTGATTGCACATAACACTTTCATTCAATTCAACAAACATTTACTAAGTGATATTGATTATACTGGGTGCTGGGGCTACAAACATGAAATAAGATCCAGCTCTTGATTTTGAAGAGTCCCTAATCTAATTATTATGATTATTAATAACATTAATTGCTAATATATTAGGCTTGCTAAGAACTTTTAATATGTTATCTCATTCAATTTGATCAGCTAAACTACCTGCTTACCACGTGACAAAACAGAAATGATAACTGCTTATAGCAAACTTTGAATGGCCAATGTCCTTGTGGAAATATATCATGAAGATATAACCTAAATATTAAATTCAATCAATTATTTTTGGTTATCTTTCTTATGGTGGCATTGTTCTGGCCACCCCTCCGAGAGGCCAGAAACTAATTTCCCTGGGGTAGCTGCCATGGTAAAGCTTCTGCATCGTTAAGAAAAAAGAGCAGTGAAAAGCTATGAACAGTGATTAATCTGCTAATTATTATTTCACAGGGCAGTGATAACAGATGATAACTTAGCCCAGTGAACAGTGAGATAGAACCAGAACTGTTAGCCTTCATTAACACTCTTCTATAACAAGTACCTCAACCTCCCTCCTTCCAAATCCTCTACTCCACCAAGCTCGCAATCTCTGTGTGCTACCTTTTAAGTCTTTACTTAATCTTCCTCCTCCCTTAACTGGCTTATTTGGAACTGCAGAGCATTATTATATTTACTATCCACTCTGGTGTCAGTAATCACCAATAGAAAAAAAAAACCAACACACTTTTGGTATAGAGAGACATTACTAACAACTGGTCTTTGAGTCTATCCTATTTACTGTATATAGTTTCTTCTATGTCTGAAAGTGGGAGCATCAGTGATTCCTTTTTTGACTTGGGAAATAATGATCTCAATCTATTTCTTTACCCTTCTGTTCTTTAGCTAAAATGCTCCCATCAAGTAGAGGCAAAGAGATTCCTAAGAAGACTCCTAAGAAAATTTAGGAAAGTGGCAACTGAAGGGATTCCTGAGACAAATTGAACAACTTTAGAAAATGATGATCAACTGTTCAAATATCCATAGAAATCCTCCTTGTATGCCTCATCACCCGTATCAACATGGCATCAGGGCCCAAACTATCTGGCAGTCATACAGCAAGCTGGAACAACTTAAGATCTGGACCAGGGATGAGCTGTGTCAGAAAGTGACCAGTCTAGCAAAGTTACAAGGGGTTCATCTCCAGTAGCTGGTCTACCATGCAATGACTTTTTTGGGGGAGAAGTGGGAAAGCCCACCACTTAGAAAGTCTAAAGTGTGAAGGGGTAGGGTCTGCACCAGTGAAGAGGATATTCATACCAGTAAACTTGTGGATATTTGAAATATTGAACTAAAAATTTTAAATCCTTCATGTCTGATCTCTTATTGCCTACTGAGTCAAGTGCAAATTTCTTAGTCTGGAGTTGGTAACTTTCCATCATCTATCTCTCCTACACCATTCCCTCCAGGCATCCCATGTTCTAGTCAAACTAGATTATTTGTCTCTCTCACACACACACACACACACACACACACACCCTGTACTTTCCTCCCTCCATGCCTTTGCTTATTAGTTTCCAATAACTGGAATTCTATCCCTAAGGAGGAGTCAAGATACCAATCTTTACAGGCAATTTTCCAGGAATACCATGAACATTAGGTCAACATTCGATAATGAGAACATAATGAACTTTTCTCTACACTAATGTAAGACAGCAGAGATGTGAGTTAACAGAGCTGGCAATTTTAAAATGATTACTATTTATTCTCAGAACCAATTATATGATTTTTAAAGGAAAAAAATAGACCGCTATGTTGTTTTGGCCCACATTAAAAGTAGAGGGTATTCTCTGGGCATCCGTCAATGAAAGGCAGGGTGAGATGGCCCAGGATTGTGCCAAGTGGCAGTGGGTAAAGGCCTTGGACTGTCCACAAAATGGTCACAGGGTTATTGAGGGGGTCTGGGATTTAATTGGCATAACAAACTCTAACCCTCTAACAACACAGATTGGATCCTTCTCTGTTAAGCCAGTAGTACTGAGAATAGGTCATAGAGCAGGGCTGTATCAGAAGCAGGACCTGAACCCAGCTCTTTCTGGCCCCAAGGCCAGTTCTTTCTGAAAATCTCACCACACTTTCTCAAAGTGGTCACAGAAAGATTTAAAGCTGAAGGAGACCTTAGAAAAACCACTGAGTCCAACCCCCTCATTTTACAGACAAGGAAACCAAGGCCCAGAGGAGTTAAGTGACTTAGCCAACAATACACAAGTACTAAGTAACAGAACTGACTGAGATTTGGACCCACATCCTGACTGCGAATCTAAGTTTCTTCCCACAACCCTGAACATTCATGGTAATTTGGGCTAATTGATGGTAATTAATAAATCTCGAACCACAATGACCTCAAAGGCCATCTAGTCTAACCACCTTACTCCACTGATGAGGAACCCAAGGATGGGAGCAGTGCCCAAGGTCCTGCAGGCAGAAAGCAGCAGAGTTGACAGTGACACACAGTCCTGACTCCAGAGCCACAGCTTTTTCCACCATATAATCGGTCCCCTTCCTTCTTATCATTTCAAGGTGCTGCCTTGTCTGTTCTCACATAACCGGAAGGGAGTGAGCTGGTAATCTTTGGCCAGAGGGAAACAGCTTCAGAGAAACAACGTGACTTGCCCCAGATGTCAAAGGCAAAGCTTCAATGTGGACGGAAGATCTCATACACTCTCCCATGTGAACATGGTGATTCTACTTCTGGAATCTATGCTGTAAAGCATTCTGCTTGCAATATTCTCCTTCTACTCAGAGGAATGGTGTAGCAAAAAACCCCACTGGGCTGGCCTAGCTCAGGAACAAGCTCTGTCTATCAAGCTTTCTATGCATTATCCATGAAGGGATGGGGTTGAATGAGGTCAGAAAGGTCAAATAAATAGCCCTCCTCAACTCTTGAGGGTAGCCCAAACCAGATTAAAATGCAATTGGGAAATGTTTTCATGTACAATCATCTTTCTTTCTTTTCTACTCTACTATGTTATGGAATTAAAATATGGAAATAAAATGCTTGTTTTACTTCATAAGTTCAGAATAAAATAAATAAAATTTATAAATATGGAAATACAATGCTTGTTTTACTTAAGTTCAGAATAAAGTAAATAAAATTTATAAATATGGAAACAAAATGCTTGTTTTACTTCTTAAGTTCAGAATAAAGTAAATGAAAATTTTTTTAAAAGAAAAATAAGCAAACAAAATAAAACAGAATACAGATAATGTTAAAATGTAGTTTTCTAAGTCAATACGTGGCCTACGAGGATCCTTATGTACAATTTAGTGGCCCCATTTGGAGATGCCACTAGACTTTGTGACCTCTAAGTTTCCTTCCAACTCTTCCACCAGCTAGTCCTTGTGATGCCCCCTCTTTGGCCAGGAGTTTCATAACCCAAAGCCAGCTTCTTGTACCCAAGTGGGTGGTTAGATTTTCCTTTTCCATTTCAAATTGATCTCCTGGAAAGTTAATGGATTCAATTAAGTCCAACAAACATTTTCCAAACATCTACAATGTAAATGGCACTGTGTGAAGAGAAGGGGCTACAAAGGCAAGCCCTCATGAAGATTACATTCCATTGGGGGAAAACCTGTACAAAGGTATATAAATACTGAACAGATACAAAATGAACAAAAAGGTAAGTTCAAAGCAGGGGGGGGAGTCCTAACATCTGAGGAAGGTTCAAATGTAGGAAGGGGATCCTGAGCCATACTTTAAGAGAAGTTAGAATTCTTGTGGATAGAGCACCGGCCCTGAAGTCAGGAGGACCTGAGTTCAAATCCGGCCTCAGACCAAACACTTGACCCTTACTAGCTGTGTGACCCTGGGCAAGTCACTTAACCCCAATTGCCTTTAAAAAAAAGAGAGAGACAGAGAGAAGTTAGGATTCTAGGAGACAGAGGTCAGGAGGGACTGCATTCCAGGCTCTGGGAGATGGAAAGTTGACTGATATAAGAGTGTAATAGGAAACAGAATAGAGACCACGCTCAGCACATCCTAAACCAAGTATCTTCCTCTAGAACTCAGCTCCTCCCTCCTCCTGGTTTACCATTGTCTTTTAGTGGTACCATTAATTTCCTCATCACTGAGGTTCAATCTCCTAAGACTGTCCTGAACTCTACTCTCTCTTGATGCCATGTGTAGAATTGCCAAATCCCACTAAGTCTGCATCGAGAATGCTCCTCACGTACTGCCTTCTTCTTACCCCAAACTTCACTGCCCCATTCAGGCCCTTGTTTTCTATCACATGGGCTTTTTCAATAACTATCTACCTGGTATGCCTAATCCCATTCTTTCTCCTCAAATCCAGCCTACTCTTCCAGATTCATTTTTTTCCTAACGCACTGTTCCAGCCATGCCACTCTCCTGCTCAAAAATGTTCAACAGTTTATTGAGTGAGACCCAATGGCAGGTAGTGGTTATATTATTGGCCTGTGAATCCACTTCAAAGTATCTCCTCCATCACTAGATTGGGAGCTCCTTGTGGGTATGCCTTGTCTCTGACTTTTCATTGAATCCCTAGTGCTTAGGACAGTGCCTGGCACACAGGTGCTGAGTAAACGCTTGCTGACGGCCTGATTAATTTCATGGATATTTTGTAGGTTAGTCTCGTAGTTATATCTTGAATTTTTACTTTTTTTTAAGTGCCTAGGGCATTTTTTCTTTTATTTATAAATAAGTTCTTGTTTTCTTTTTAAATTTCTATTTCCTAAGAATTGATTTCTTTCAGTTCCTGGCTTTATCATCAGAGAGGACAGACATCTACCCCTTTCAGGATCCTAGTATCATCAATTTCCAGCTAGAAGTGACCTTAATGGTCATCTAGTCCAACCTCTTCATTTTACCAATGAAGAAACTGAGGCACAGAGAGTGGAGGACTTGTTTAAGTTAACCCAGCTAGTACGTGGCAGAGCTAGGATTCAAACCTGTTCCTCTATCTCTGAAACTAGTACTTTTCCCTCTACTGTGCCATGCTTTGGGCGGCTGGGTGACACCATAGTGCACAGAGCACAGGGCCTGGAACCGGGAAGACTTATCTTCCTGAGTTCAAATCTGACCTCAGACACTAGCTGTGTGACTGTGGGCAAGTCACTTCACCCTGTTTGCCTCAGTTTCCTCATCTGTTAAATTAACGGGAGAAGGAAATAGCAAAGCGCTCCAGTGTCTTTGCCAAGAAAACCCCAAATGGGGTCATGGACCAGACTGAAAAATGACTGAACAGCATAGCCAATGTTTTTAGTGAGCTCCAGATTCTCCCTTTGTGTAAGGCTACACCATGAGGAAATTGCAGTGCAATCCAATGAAATAACCCAGCTGTGTCCCTACTTTCCCACCTAACTACTCCTCTGTGTTGGAGAGGAAGTGGGTTGGTTTAGTGAAGCCATGTGAATGCCAGCGAAGCCAGATGCCTCACATTTCTGGACTGAAGTGTCCGCCATGTGTCTGCGAATGAAGAGACTGGAGACTAGAACGAATTTCGTGGCTGCTGGGGCTGTCTATATGAGTGTGCTGCACTCACTAACTCAGGGATGGAAGCCTTCCACAGATTCCTGTCTATCCTGCAGCAAGCCTTGCTTTATTCTGTAAACCTAATTTTCTTGGGTAAAGACATCGGCATCCTGTGATTTGACCTTGCGCACTGATCAATCATGCTAAAAGCACTACTTCACGTGGTATTCAGTGCCCTTCTCCCCATGGCTCAGCCTGGCTAGAACCTACACCTTTAGATTTATTTCCTGCAACTCACATTATATTTAAACACAATTTGTTTAGCCAGTCCCTAATCAATGGCACACACTTTGTTTACAGTTGTGTGTGTGTTTTGCCATCACAGCCAATCTCCTTCTCTTCCAAATATACCCATTCTCTTGACCTCTTTGCCTTTTCTCATACTGTCCCTTCCTCTTAGAATTCTTTCCTGCTCCAATATGGTACATTAAGTAGAGAGAATAAAGGGTCACAAGTCTCAAAGCCCTGAGTGTGAATTAGCTATGCCGCTCACTGCCTGTGTGATCTTGGGTAAATGCTTTCAACTTTCCGGGCCTCAGTTTCTTCCTCTTTAAAGTAATGGATTTGGACTAGATGACCCCTGAGGTCCTTCCTGCCTTTAAATCTGTGATCCCACGATACTTATCTGTTCAAAATCTACACACTTCCAAAGCCCAGGGCAAATGCCATTCCCTGATCTCCCTTGCTAGATGTGATTTCTCCTTCCTCTGAACTCCCAGGTCACCGCATATCTCTTGGACATTTATGACCTACATCAGATAGTAGTTTTTTACATTTAGTTCTCATCTCCTGTGCTAAGCTGCTCGAA